AGAAACGTTTCAAAATCATCTAAAAACATACAAGTTTCGAGCCCAAAATTTCCCCCTTACAAACATCAAAACAACGTAGTTTTGGTAAACAATATTCGTCGCCAAAGCTCTCCAAACAATTTGTAACGCAATATTTCGCCGCACAAACTTTACAAATGATCTTCGACGAAACTTTCGTCGCAAACAAAAAAAAAAAAGAAATCTTCGTCACAAGTCTAGTATCCTTCCTTTCAGGGAAAATTATACCCATCAGCGACGAAATGTTTAAAATCCGTCGCCTAAGACCATCTTTTAGCGACGAATTTTGTTTTCGTCTCTACTATTTCGTCTCCAAAAGTATTTTTTTTTTTAGTGTTTTTTGTTGCTACTACATACCGATATCGTCTTATCAATTCAATAACTGATTAATCAAAAAATCGATTAGCACCCCTATTGGTATCCTCCTTGCGCTAAAGCATTTCTCTAAGAACTATTATCCTTAAAAATGTAGTCAGAAACGACACAGTGCAATGATTGGGAGGCAATTGCATTGCTTAGTAATATCCCACGATTTAATCTTGGGGATTCTCTCTCTCTCTCTCTCTCTCTCTCTCCTATATTGGATCATTTTAAACAATTTAGACAAAAAGTGATTTTGATTCATTTAAGCCTCTTTTGAAAGGTAATGCATCATGATTGTTTGGTTATTCAAGTTTCCAAATGTTCACCTAATTATTTTGTTTCCCTAATTATGTAAAAATGAGAGAATGTATTGATAAGCCATTGATGGACATTAGAGGTGTGTTGCACTAGAGATTCACTAACATAGAGATGATTTTTTTTTTTGGTTGAAAGACAGACGACGAGCGTCTAAATCACATTAGTAGTAAACATTCATGGTAAGTTCCCATTACATCGTGATTGATCCATTGGACCAACTCCCTATCACACACATTGAAGTGATGTGTGCCAAAATCAAAACCATGAGCCTTGCTAGCCAAGAAATCGGTAGCGTAATTAGCTTCTCTATACACGTGGGATACTCTAACTTCCCAATGTTGTTCCAAAAGGTAGCTCAAGTGTCTGGCAGTGGTGCCATTACGATGCACATCATCATTTCTGTGATTAATGATGTTAATAGCAGTGGTAGAGTCGTTGTGGAGAATAATTTTCCTGTAGCCCGCCTTCCACGCAATCTTTAATCCCTCCAAAGCTCCACGCAGTTCTGCAGCTGTGATTGAGCATCGTCCAAGGTTACACACATAGGCTCTCAGACATCTTCCTAAGTGGTCCCTGAATAATCCTCCTGTTGCAGCTCTACCACTTGGTTCTAGGACAGACCCATCCGATTGAAGTTGAATCCACCATTCATCAGGCGGTTTCCATCCCACATTGCATATATGTTTCTTCCTTAGAGTGAGACTTGTGGTCCGCTGGAAGTTGGTATGAGCCTGGTTCACAATGTTAAACCATGCCTTGATCTTTTCCGTTATTCCCTCTTTTGAAAAGACACGCCCTTCCATTCTTCATTCCTTTGTTTCTGTAATTGCCAACAGATGATACCAAATTCAATAGTTGTATCTTCTTGTATGATATTGTACACCAGCCATTCATTAAAGTTCAAGTTACTGTTCTTGGTAGCATCCTTGTTCTGGAAAGTCCCCAAATGGTCCTGGCTTTCTTGCATTTCCTAAGTATATGATCAATTGTTTCTTCTTCTTCTTCTTTGCAGTGGCTGCACAAGTTGTTGGTTGTCAGCTTCCTTCTCTCCCTTTCTTTGTTGGTAAGTAGACAATCATGGGAGACCAGCCATAGGAAGTGTTTTATCCTACTTGGCCCCTTCCATTTCTAGACTGCTTTCCATTTACCATCTTCCTCCTGCTCTTCCATATCAGCAGCCAGTCTGTACGCTGATTTTAGGCTGAATCTTCCATCATTCTCCAAGTCCCAGATGATAATGTCCTCTCCCAGCTCAGGGTCAGGTGCATCAATTCCTGCAATAGTCAAGAACACATCATTAGGAAGGTAGTGACCAAGCTTACCCCAGTCCCACTTACCTTCCTCTGTGACCCAGTCTGCCACCACTAAGTTCAATTCTTCATCATTGATGTCAACAGTGGCAAAGTCAGCAAGGAAAGTGATGTTATCAATCCATGGTTGCTTCCAAAAAAGGGTGGATTTCCCATCCCTAATACTCCAACATGTGGACTCCTTCATCAGTCTCATTCCCCTAACAATGGCTTTCCAGAGGTTAGAGTGGTTGCTCTTTTTCATATTAGTAATATCACCATCCTAGTGTTTGAAGTACTTCCCCTACAGGACCTGGACCCATAGATCAGAAGCATTATTGAGCATATGCCATCCAAGTTTTATCATGTAAGCCATGTTCATGTGCCTAGCAGATTTAAGCTCTAGGCCACCTTGACTCTTAGGTTTGCAGATGTTATCCCAGGCAATAAGATGAGCTTTCTTTTTACCCTCAACAGACCCCAAACAAAAGATCTAACCTTCCTATCAATAACATCACAGATAGAGGCTGGTAGAAAGGTAGTTTTCATAGCATAAGTAGGAAGAGCATTAAGCACAGACACAACCAAGGTGACTCTACCAGCCAAAGAGAGTGTTCTAGCCTTCCAGTTGGTGAGTTTCTGGTCAATCCTGTCAAGAATGAACTTGTAGGTGTTCTTGGTGATTCTGCCATGCAACACATGCACACCAAGGTACCTTCCTAGGTCTATGATACCCTGGATTCCTAGACTATTGCAGATATCAGTCTTATCCTTGTTCTTAACATTCCTAGAGAAGAAGACTCTAGACTTCTCTTTACTGATCATCTCACCAGAGGCTAGAGAGAAATTATCAAGACAATTCATAACAATATCAGCTTGGGCAGTATTGGCTTCAGCAAACAGGATAAGGTCATCCGCAAAGAACAGGTGGGATAGAGCAGGACCACCTAGGGAGAGCCTAACAGGGTTCCATCTACAGCTCCTAACCTCACACTCAATGTAGTGACTATGTCTCTCAATACAGAGAGTAAAAAGATAAGGAGAAAGAGGGCATCCCTGTCTGAGTCCTCTTGTGGGGATGAAGCTTTCAGTTTCCCCTCCATTCCAAAGCACTTGGTAGCTGGCGGAAGTCACACATTCCATAATCCATCTGATGCAACCGTCAGGGATTTTGGCAGCCTTGAGCGTTTTTGCAAGGAAGTCCCAACCAATCCTATCATATGCCTTGGCTAGGTCCACTTTGAGTACCATGTATCCCTTTTTGCCACTTTTCCTAGCCATAGAATGGATGGTTTCCTGCATGATAATGATGTTATCAGTAATGTGTCTATTAGGAATGAAACTGGACTGATTCCTATTCACCAGGGGGGACAAGAGAGGTTTGAGTCTATTAGCAATCAGTTTAGCAATAACTTTATAGCCAACATTACAAAGGCTAATGGGTCTGAAAGGACTCATATAGGATGGGCTATCAACTTTGGGGATCAGGGTAATCAAAGTTTCATTCAACAATCTAATTTTGTTGGGAAAACAAAAGCAGGAGAGGATGAAGCCAACAAAATCCCTTCCCACAGTATCCCAGCATTTCTGGTAGAAGATGGCTTGGAAACCATCCTTAGTAGGGGCATTGATATCATTAATTTCCATAATGACAATCCTAACATCCTCGGGAGTGGGCAAGACAGAAAGCTTGGCAAGCAAGTTATTATCAATAAAGGGAAATCAGCAGGAATGGAGCAGGTCAAGTTCAAAGAAGACATGGTGAACAAGTGGAGGAAATACTCCCTGGACATGTTGAAGAGAGTATCAACATCAGAGATCCAGTCTCCTTGATCATTTTGCAGGCAGGTGATTCTGTTTCTTTTCCTTCTGCTAAGGGTGCTGGAGTGAAAGAATCTGGAGTTCAAGTTCCCCAAACACAACCCAGTTAGTTCTGGATTTTTGGATCCAAAGAAGTTCCTCCTGCCAGAGAGTATCCTCAAGCTCTTCCCTTGTAATTTGTTCCTGGTTGAGAGAATTGGTGGTTGGTCGTCTCTCATTGAGAGCTTCCAGGGACTTGAGCTCATTAAGAAGTCTTTGTTCCTTTTGGAAGATGTTCCCATAAACCTCTTTGTTCCATTTCTGTAGCTGAGAAGAGAAGTGCCTCAGAGAATCAGGGAAGTCTCACACTACTACTCCAGGCAGAACAAAGGAAGTCAGGGAAGTTCTCATGTGCTAGCCATGAAGCAAGGAACTGAAATCTTCTTTCCAGTTTCTTCTTAGTTTTGTGGGACTCCGTGCAGGTCAAGATTGGAGTGTGGTCAGATTTGATTTTGGGGAGGTGGAGGGTGGAAGATCCTGGAAACTTGTGATGCCAATTCAAGTTGCAAATATTTCGATCAAGCCTCTCCTTGATATCTGAGTGTCTGGTAAACCATGTGAACTTAGGACCAGAGAATCCAAGGTCCATGAGTCCACAATCCTCCAAACACTCATTAAACGCACGAACTTTAGCAAAGTTAAAGGCAACACCCCCTTGCTTTTCACATGCTCTAGAGATGGAGTTGAAGTCTCCTGTGAGAATCCATGGAAGGTCAGTGGATCTTTGAATTCTTCTCATAGCATCCCACAACTCTACTCTGTCATGCTCATTGGGGCTGGCATACACCACAGTGATCTAATACAGATCAACATTTGAGGAGGAGCATTTCAGGGTGATAAACTGTTTATGACAATCAACCTCCCTAAGCTTCAGGTCACACTTGTTCCAAAGAACCCATATTCCCCCACTAAAACCAGCAGCATCTGAGATTGCCCAAGTGTCATATCCTAGGGACTTGATCATTGTGATAGCATCTCTCCCACTGATTTTGGGTTTCAGAATACAGGCAATATCAGGTTTGTGATTTTCCTTATAAAGGTTAAAAGTAGGCAAGAACTTGGGGTGCTTGGCACCCCTATAATTCCAGGAGAAGATCTTAACCATTAAAGATGATGATTAAAGACCTCCCTTCACAACCCTAAGGTCGGAGATCAGCATATCTTGGTGGCCATGGCCACCACTCCCTCCCCTGTAGAGCACTCCATTGGTTCTGCAGGGGGGGGGGGGGGTTGTGCATTTTCTGGCACAATTGGTTCCTTCCCTTGGTCAGGGGAGAACATAATTTTCCTTCCTTTACTTACTCCTTTGACTGGAGTAGTGGCCGGATTCGTTCCCAAGTTCTCACTGATGGACGAGGTTCCAGGAGTCTTCATCTTGGGTTGGTGCCCTGCAAGGCTCTCTTTGGATTGTCCTATGTCACTCCCTGGTTTCTTAGCTCCATTGGTCTTCTTCCCTTCACTCTTGATCATGGTGTTTCCTGCAACTTGTAGCGCTTTCCCACTAGTGACCAGGTGATGCTGCTGCTTTGTGTCCTTCGATGTTGCTCCTCGCTGGTCTTTGGATTTTGCCACAGAGGCAGTTCTGTTCCCTGTTTTGTAGTTTCTGGGGAGACTTTCTGGTGCTCTTTCCTGTTGTAGATTTTGTTGCCGCTTTTTCCTGCATTTATTATGCCCTGATCCTGTGATTGGCGATCTTCTTCCTCAACTCTGCTCTCCTTGTGGGGCATTTCCTTGTTGCATTGATTCTCCTCAGCCTGCGGCTCCTTGGTGGGGATCTCGGCTTCCATGTTCCTATCCTCCTCTACTTTTTTTCCTTCATCCTCCAGCACAGTGAATCTTGATATAGAGTTTCTTCCTTCCTCATTATTGCTATTCTTCTTAGTTTCTTCCTCACTCCCCCGAGCTTCCTTCTGATTCTTCATTCTTTTTGGTCTCGCAGCGAGCATCCAAGGGCCAAAGTCCTCCAACACTTCCGGCCTGACTGTCTGCAAAGATTGAGCATTGCAAGTTGCGCTTTGCTCCACCGTTGGGGCATCAGTTCCTGATCTTGTGGGGCACTTCTCCTCCAGGTGCCCATAATAACCACAACCAAAGCAGACAACATGGAGGCCTTCATACTCAACCCTATGGACGCGTCTCTTCAGTCTATATTTTGATACCAGTCGTTTGCTAATATAAATCTCCACGCAAATTCTCGCGTAGTTACCTCGGAATCCATTGGTTGTGTTGTAGTCGATTTTCTGCACCCTTCCCTGCATGTTCCCAATGTCGGTCAGTATCTCTTCATCGAAATACGCCAGTGGAAGTCGAGGCAGTCTGACCCAGGCAGAAATGTGATTGATAGAGTCGAAGTCTGGGTCAAAGTCCAGCCTCCATGGTTTAGAGACAATATAGTGATCATCAATTGTCCAGGGACCTCCAAATAGAGCTCGACATGATCCAATTGAGAGTCAAACACAGCCTGGCAGTATCCATTGCCGATATCCCCAATCTTCACTCCACCAGTCTTTGCCCACATTTTCTGCACACGCCAGTGAACAAAAGTAAAGGGGAAATGCTTACCAAGCACCCGGAAAGTGATGGCATGATTCCAGCGACTTTGTATTTTGGCGTTGGTTCGCTTCTTTATCCGGATGGTGGGGCAATCTGGGTCATCTTCCTATTTTGCCCATCGGATTCGTCTGAGATTAGGTCTTCACCTATAGAATTGTCAAGGGTTTGTTGCCAAGAACGGAATCCTTGTACGAGCTCTGTTGTCCACCCCAGAAAGGCTGCTCAGATCCCCCATTCCATTCTCCGGTTTTCCTCTGTTCTTCACTATTTCCCACCCCCTGTTCTGGGTTGGACTCAGTTTGCATCTCTTCTTCTTCCTCTTCGCCTTCGGGGGCAACTTCTACTCTTGTAGTAATAACGGCAAAGTCCATGCTTCCCTCTCCAAAGAAACTGGTGCTAGAAGTAGCTTTGGTTTCTTGCTGGGTAGGGTCGGGGTCATCGTCGGTGAAGAATCCGGTGGTTTCGGGTCGGGGCGATGGCTTCTCTAGGAGACTCCATTCAAACGCCCCGAAAATGACAAGAAAACGCCTAACCAACGGCTAGAAAGTGGCGAAAAAAAGAGGATAGAGGGGAGAGCTTTTCTCTCTCAAGTACACTCACATGTCCGTTAGAGATGATATTTAGGGGAGGTCGGGGAGTGATAACTTTGATAGTCTGGATAGTGAAAATAAAAAGAATATTAAAAGATTTGTTGAAAAAAAAGTGCAAGTTAGAGTTGTTTTTCATGGAGTGGAAGCATACGACATAAGTCGAGAACAAAAATGCAGGTTTATGAACAAATTTAAAGCATAACTTGCATATAGACTGGAAGTGATCACAACTTCTCCATTAGATTATAATAATAAAAAAACTTCTCCATAAGAGAATTCGAGACAATAAACTCCGGCGTAAGTCTATATTTTCATAACCGGATCAGAGGCTGAACCGGAAAAGTTAGTGGTTTAGGGTTCAGTGGTTAACTGTTACAAAACCGTTGGTGAACCATTGATAGAACCGTTCATGATATATAACATATAGGACTTGTATATTACACTAATTTAGTATGAAGTTATCATTCACCATAAACAAATTTCAATCCATATTATCACCAAAATATCTAATAAATCATTCAAATTTCCTCACAAAAGAAATCATAATCTTTTTAATTCAAATTAAAAATTATGGCGCCATTCGATAGTGGAGAACGTAGAGTCGAGAACAAGGTTGAAAAATTAGATAATTAATAATTATGATATGATGGTATTAGTGTAAGTTAAAGTAATTTAAAAAAAAATTGCTTAAAATAGTGGACCAGTTAAACCGTGGTGGTTCACCTGATTTTATGTTGAACCGTGAAAAACCGTTTGGTCCATCAATAACTGTTCAAGCAAAGAACTGAACCGCTATCGTAACTGGTTTGGTGGTTCTGCTGGCCAGGCCGTTGATCCGATTCGATTCTTATAACAATACGTGTAACTGAAAAGAAGACATAAAATAATTAAATCATACATACTCTAGAAACTTCTTCTTTTTCTAAATTACACATCCTAGAATCTTTTCTTCTCAATGATCAAAAGATTGTTCAATATAGAAGCCAACAAACTCATGCATCATTGTTGTTGCTTCTTGTAGGAGAGGTGTTGTTCCGGACGTTAATGATTTGGTACGTAGCTGCCGTAGAGACAAGTTTTCTCATGACGACAGATTATTATATAGTATTCTAATTAACGTATATTCTGCTTTGGATTTAAGCAATTTTTTCTGCTTTGAGATTTTTCATGAATCATAGCATTGTACGCTTGCTCAACATAAGTATTGCGATTGTTGCATTACCCAAAGGAAGGCAGACTAGACAGAAGAGTAGTGTCGATTTAAGAAAAAAGGGGAAAAGACAATCAAAAGTAAAAAACAAACAACGTTCAAAAACGATGAAATTATGTGCCAATATTAGAAATCTCCCAATCCAAAACCCTACATATATACATGCAAAGCATGGATAGTTGTGGACTGTTCGTTTGTTCTTATGCAGCTAAGCGTCGATTGTTGTTCACCAAACTGCAGTCTATGTATGTTATACGATTGCATTAACACTAATAATTAGATGTACTTAAATACAATTCGACGAATAAGAACCGTCAGATTTTTTTAACTAAATGAATCTTATGGTTTTGGTTGGCGAATTAGGGATTGAGGTTCACCCATTAGTGGTTAGGGTATAGTATCATGCCCCAAACTCTGATTAATTCCTAGTGTAAATTGTAAAACTCGACCGACGAATGGTGGTGTGAATGCAGGCATATAGCGTACGCCTAGTAGACGCTAGCATGAACCATATAGGCAAAGACTAGTGTACACATGCGTACGATATATACCTGCATTCACACTTATTAGATGCACTTCATATAGTTTCAATGCATCAGAATCGTCGCATATTATTTGTTAATTAAATCAATTATGGTTTGGGTTAGGATATGGCAAAATTCACCCGCATAGCCATAACTATCGACTTTGTGACAATAATAGCCACGTTTGGAGAAATATACAAAATTGTCAGATTTTGGAGGGTAGTTTGACAAATCTAGCATTTTCGTCAAAAACTTTAACGACGTTAGAAAACGCATATGTCAGCGACAACTCGACATGTCTTGCCACGTGGACGTCACGTCATATTTTGTCGATACGTTAGTATAGCCAAAATTTTGATACTAATGACTAATATATTCATTTTTTTCAAAATTAGAAGTCTCGCTTCTCAAAATTCCTCCTTCCTACTCCAAATCTCATCGTCCTCTTAACCTAAATCATTCACAAATAAAATAAAAAAGTGTTAAGAAATCGAGGTTGGCATACGCAGCGGAAGAGTTATCACAGAGTATGTCATGCTTCTCATGGCTTGATGAGGCCACAGAACCTCTCGTGTTACCAGAGAGAGATGGTGGCAAAGTGGGCTTGAGAGGAGTGGGGCGAGGTGAAGAAGGTGAACGGAGATGTGATGGCACAAGAAAGATGGCAGGGAAGGAAGTTGAAGGGGGTCTATAGCCCCAGCACGACCATTAACATTCGCTGTCCATAATTTTTTAATTGGGTTAAGAGGACGATGAGATTTGGAGTGTGATGGAGAGACTTCAGGAGGCGGGATTTATAGTTTTGAAAAAATGGCTATATTAGTCATTAGTATCAAAGTTTTGGCTATACGAATGTATTAAAAAATATATGATGTGACGTCCATGTGGCAAGCCGTGTTGAGTTGTCGTTGACGTGTGCGTCGATTTTAACACCTTTAAAGTTTTAAACGGAAATGGCTAGATCTGTCAACCTATTATCCAAAATCTGGCAATGATTCTATATAGATGTATTTAGGCATAGAAAATTAAGAATTGGGGTTCACTTGTTAGAGGTTAGGGTATAGTATCATTGCCCCAAATTTTGATTAATTCGTTATTTAAATAGCAAAACACGACGAGCTTATATAGTATCATGCTCAGGAATCATTCAAGATTTACTTTGATTTGAAGGATTTAGTGCTTAGAAATTTAGGTTTTACAATTTGGGATTTAGCGTTAGGGTTCAAAATGAATGTTTATGACTTAAGGTAATGCATTGATTAGTTTTGATCCAAAACGGTTCTCGAGAACTCTATCAAAAGGGAGATCTAATAGTGGAGGTGGGAGGCGAGTGCCAAAGAGATGTGTTGGGCTTAGGGTTTTTGGGGGGGATTGGGTTGTGAGAGTGTTTGGGCTTCTAGAGTTTGTTGGGTTGTAGCCTGTGGGGGTTGGGATGAGTATTACAACATAATTTTGGTTTCTCGGTCGGAATTCGGAATTCGGATTCGGTTGTGACAACCCTGTTTTCCGAAATAACCATTTTCCCCTTTCGATTTCCGAACCGAATAGCATTATTTCGGTTTCAGTTCAGTTTGAGTTCAGTTCGGCTTAGTTTGGTTTAGTTCGGGTTTACCAAACCGGATGCCCACCCCTAATTATAAGAGTAAGAATGGGTCACGTAGCTTAGTCGGATTCTAAGGATGTGGTGGCTCGTGAGAAGGAGGAAGATGATGTGATCGTAGACGAGGAATATGATCCGACATGCCCTTCGGTGTTGTTTATGGCGGCGGAGAAAACCCGGTGGCGAAGAGAGTGGAGATCAGCATTGGTGGTGAGAGGTCTTGGACGCCGGCCAGGTCTATTATCTGCCCCTGGCGAAACGGATAAATTATCTATGGGCGAGGAACGGAGGTTTGCTGATTTTGAATATGCATAATGGATGCTTCTTGGTGAGATTTAGGGACCAGCGCGACTATGAACTAGCTAGCTCGGGCGGACCTTGGTTGCTTGGTGACACTTACCTTACTGTGCATCGCTGTGCATCTGAAGTTAAATAAACAATAGTGTGGGTCCAACTGCCGGAACTTCCCGTTGAATTTGTCAATGCTGAAGCGGTAATGAAAATTGGTAAATTGATAGGAGTCCCGATAAGGGTTGATTATGTAACAGAGTTGGGAACGAGGGCCAAATATGCACGAGTGTGCGTGGAAGTCGATCTGACCAAACCCTTGCTGTCGCAGTACAAAGTTGAAGTGGTTACCTACCTGATTCAGTATGAGGGCTTGGATAATATTTGCGGTGAGTGTGGCACGTATGGGAAGCAAGCGGCTGACTGTAGTTGCCAGAACATGAACCACGAAAATTACTTGAGTGACTGTGAGGTAGTCCCCGAGACCCAGCAGCTGAACCACACCAATGGGAGGACATATGGTGAGTGGATAACGGTGAAGAAACGGGAGAGGAGGTTTCCAAGGAAGCCTGTAGGTACAGTTGATCGAAACCCGACACGTATGAACAACACATTTGAAGTGCTAAATGAAACCATACAGGACAACGTGAACGCCATGCACATTAATTTGACTTTGGATGGAGAAGAATGTACTGGGGCGGGAGTAGAGAAGGAATGAGATCATGTAGTGAGTAAGGGAGGCCTTGGCATGCCCAGAAGCGTTGCCCCAAAAGAGATGCCACAAGAGAACAAGCAGGCTGGGGGAGGAAAGAAAAATGATGATGGTCAGAGGATTGTAAAGAATGAGGGGAAGAAGGGTAGGAACCAGAAGAATGGGACGGAGTCCAGGATGAGGGAAGGAACAGCGGGGGGTGCAAGGAAGGAGGCGGACCATTTGCCTTCTAATAAGGCAGGAAGTGGTGTTTCAAAAAATGGTGAAGCGGTGTTGAGCCCGGGGAAGCAGCCAGTAGGGGGAGGAGCTAGTAAAGCACCGGTAGCTGTTAACGTCACTAGTAAAGGTGTGGGGAACCTATCCCCTTCCGGTAATAAATGAGGCTTCTTAGCTATAACTGTCGCGGATTGAGAAGCAAGCGTGCAGTTAGAGCTCTGAAGTCGCTTTTGCGGCAAACTTCCCCACAAGTGGTTTTCTTAATGGAAACTAAACAGACTGAAGAGGAGAATGAAGAGGTTCGTAAGGAATTGGGATTCCCAGAAGGTGAGAGCTGGTCAGCCGACACTACCCGTGGTGGACGCGCAGGGGGATTGAGTATTTGGTGGGTGGAGGAGATTGGTATGGCCGTTATGTCAAAGTCATTCAATCATATTGATACTAAAGTTGTGGACGAAGGAGAAATTTGGAGGTTTACTGGCATCTATGGATGGCCAGAGAATGATGAGAAAATATAAAACGTGGGAGATGATACGAGACCTCGCGGTGCAGTGGACGGGGCCATGGCTATGTGGGGGGGACTTTAACCAAATTCTTACCAATGGGGTGAAGAGGGGAGGACGATCCTCTGCTGATTGGCCTATGTTCGAGTTCCATGAGTGTCTTATTGACTCGGGACTGAGAGACTTGGGCTTTGAGGGCTATGAGTTTACGTGGGAAAATCAGAGAAGGATAGGGGAGTACATTGAAGAGAGACTGGACAAGTTTGTGGTGTCGGAGTCATGGATAGACAATCACCTGAATGCTCGGGTCCGACATCTGGAAAAATCTCGATCGGATCACAGGCCGATTGTGTGCGACACTAATGGCGATGATGATGTTGAGCCTCAATGGGGGTGGAGCTTTCGTTTTGAGCCTTTTTGGGCAAACCACGAGGACTGCCCGAAGGTTGTGGAAAGCGCATGGAGGGAGCAGGGGTTTACAAGTACTATAGAAAGGATCAGAGCTTGTAGAGAAAAGTTGGAGGAGTAAAGTACCTTAACGTTCCCGAAGTTTGGGAGGCAAAGGGGCAAGATTAGGCGGGCTCTGCAGAGGCTCGATCGGCTGCCGCCCACTGAAGCTGTATTGACACAAAGAAGGCAACTAGAGGCTGATATGGAGAAGTTGGAGGAGAATGAAGAAAGTTACTGGAAACAGAGGTCTAGAGCGGACTGGCTTGAGGGGGGGGGGGGGTGACAAGAATACAAACTTTTTCATCGGAAAGCATCTTCTAGGAGGAGGAGGATTATGATTCGCAAGATTAGAGACTTTTCTGGTCGGTTATTCGCGGAAAAGGAGGCGATTTCCGACTGTTTTACTAGCTATTTTGTGGGTTTATTCACTGCTGGTTAGTTTCCACTTTCGACCCCGGTTATTGACTCTGTGAAGTAGTCGATAGGTGTGGAAGATAATGCGCGATTGGTGCGTCTGGTTGATAGAGAGGAAGTGGTGATGGCTCTGAAACAAGTGGGTCAAAGAAAGGCGCCAGGTGCGTATGGTATGCCAGTTATGTTCTTTTGAAAATATTGTGACATAGTTGGTGATGATGTTGTCCAAACAGTGTCTAGATTCATTGATCATGGAGAGATGCCCGAGAAATTGAATCATACGCTGATTGCTTTGATCCCTAAGGTTAAGATCATGCGTTGTCCAAACACCGAAAGATTATCGTCCGATCAGCTTGTGCAATGTTTTGTACAAGTTGGTAGCAAAAGTCTAAGCTAATCGGTTGAAGGAGTTATTGGACAAGGTGATTTCCCCTGAGTAGAGTGCCTTCGTACCAGGGCGTTTTATCACTGATAATATAATGGCTGCTTTCGAATATTTTCATACGATGATGAAGAAGAAGAAGAAAAGAAGGGTAGGTATTATGGCTGCGAAGATCGATATGGCAAAAGCACATGATAGAGTAGAGTGGAAATTTCTGGCTGAGATCATGCGGAAGATGGGTTTTGGAGAGAGATGGATCTCCCTAATCATGCTTTGTGTAAGCACCATGACATACTCCATTCTTATCAATGGAAATCAGTCGGAGACGTTTGTTCCTGGTCGAGGCCTGCGCCAGGGAGACCCTTGTCTCCATACCTTTTCCTTATTTGTGCCGAAGGACTCTCTTCATACATAGCACAAGCGGTTCGGGAGAAGAGAATTCATGGGATTCAACCGGCTCAAGGAGCCCCGGTGGTGAGCCACATGTTTTCCGCTGATGATAGTATCTTTTTTGCTAGATCAACATCGCAGGAAGGGAAGGAGCTGAAAAGACTTCTCATGGACTATGAGAAGGAGTCTGGCCAGATCGTGAATTTTGATAAGTCGGAGGTCTCATTCAGCTCCAACGTCTTGACCCACCAGAGCCTGGAAATTTGTGGTATATTGGAGATGAAGAAAGTCGAGAAGCATCATAAATATTTAGGGCTGGCAACGGAGGCGGGGCGATCAAAGAAGCTTCTGTTTCAGGAGCTGAAAGATAGAATAAGGAAGAAGTTGAAGGGATGGAAGGAAAAGACTATGTCGGTGGCGGCTAGGGAAGTTCTGATCAAGTCAGTAGCCCAGGCACAGTTCACCTATGCAATGTCAGTCTTCCGGGTGCCGGATGGTATTATCGATGAAGTTCACAGCATGATAACGAACTTTTAGTGGGGACAGAGAGTCAACGAGAAGAGGTCACACGGATTAAGAAGAGAGGGACTAGTGAGCCCGAAAGAAGAGGGAGGTATGGGGTTTAGGGACCTGCGGGGTTTTAACGATGCTCTCTTAGCAAAGAAGCTGTAGAATTTAATGCAAAGACCGGACTCCTTGATTGCCAGAATTTTCAAGGCAAAGTACCATAAGAGAACAGCGATTTTGGATGCTACAATAGGGTATTGACCAAGCTTTGTGCGGCGAAGTCTCATGAGTGCGCAAGAGCTTCTGAACCGGGGATTACGGTGGCGGATAGGGACGGGGATGGAAGTAAAATCTGGGGTGACAGATGGATCTAATCCATCCCGGAGCATTTCATTCCCACGGCGCCGGTGGGGCTACCGGTTGATGCCTGTGTTCGGGAGCTGGTAAGCACGGAGGAGGAAGCTTGAGATGCCACAATGCTGGAAAGTTGCTTCACAAGAGAAACAGTTGATGCGATTTTGAAGATCCCGTTGCGTGGGAATGGAGAAGTTGATGTTATGATTTGGCACAATAGTAGAAATGGGTGTTATTCTGTCAAGGAAGGCTATCGTGAATGGCTAAGTGAATTTAAAGTGCAACATGGTGTGTGCAATTTTGGAGAGGCGCAAATCTGGAAGGAGGTGTGGAGCTTGAACGTCCTGCCTAAGGTACGACAATTTATGTGGAGATTTATGAGAGAGATCCTCCCCGTTGGGGTTCTTGTAAGCCACCGTAATCCTAGGTGGGGTGATCGCTGCCCTTTTTGCGATAAGACAGAATCCTAGGAACACATCTTCTATAATTGCGAATGGGGATCGAGGATATGGAGGAAGTCGAAAGTGGGTGGATGTTTCAAAATAAGGAACGACGGTTCGTGTTTCGAGTGGGTCAAGAGAGTTGTTGGCGCCGGTGATGCTGGTAAATCGGAAAACTGGTGTGTTCTACTTTGGTATCTCTGGAAGGAAAGAAACTCTCATATGTTTAATGGAGCTAAACTCGCCGAAGAGGAGATACCGATTAGAGCAATTAGAGCAAAATACCTGTTGAGGGACTACCACAACATCAAAGGAAGAAAGGGGACCAACCGCGGCAGGTATTGCAGAAACAGTGGCGGAAACCCAAACCGGGGAAGATATCCATCTGCACCGACGCTGGAATTTTTCAAAATGGGGGAGCTGGTTTGGGCACAGTGATAAGAGATGATATGGGCAGATTTCTAGCTGCTGCAGCGAAGAAGATCAAAGGGACGTGGGAGGTAGAGCACGCAGAAGCCCTTGCTGTGGAGATGGGAGCTCAGCTAGCTCATCACTTTAATTACAAGAATGTGGTCCTTGAGATGGATTGTTTACAGGTGGCTTAGAGGCTTCAAAACTCAAACTTGGCAAAGGATGAAGTTGGAGTAGTCTGGCGGAACACTAAGAAGCTCTTGGAAAGTTTGGGACTGAGTGCAGTCCACCACATCTGCATGGAAGCTAACAGTGCAGCGCATGCGATGGCGCATGTGGAGACCAGGTGGAATGAGAGGGTGGTTTGGGTTGAGAGACCTTCGTTATGTATTATTGATCTACTCCATATGGACAATGTAACCACAGCGCTAGATCAGTAATGGTATCCGCAGGTTTTCAGTAAAAAAAAAAGAATGGGTCACGTAGGTAGTTGGTTTGATACCCATGGGGTGAATATTACACGTTTATAGCTAAGAATATGGAGTTACTCTGTTAAACAAATGCCAAACAATTAGGAAGATGAAATTCTTTTGTTTGGGTTATGACATGAGCTATTTCTTAAAAGCATCATCTGAGGTGTATATCTCAGTGTGTGTCGACAAATAAAGAATAAAACAAACACATTGATTAGCTACAAAGGAAATTCAAGTTTAGTATTCTGAGTTTTAACTAATTGGTGATTATTTCGTTCCAAGAGATATACTTGCTTTTTATTATAAAAAAATATATATAATTGCTTTGGATAGATAGTTTTAGATGCTCTTTGCCTGAATTGATAGAAACTAATAATAGTGATTATTAGTTGATCTTGATCAATAAAAATGAGACACCATATAAACTTTAGTCGAGTGCAGTATAGGACAAGTATATTTTAATTGTCAAATTCGGGCCGGTCCATGTACCCCTACTTCAGTCGCTTAAGTTGTTATCTAGCAAAACAATATTGATTTTAAAACTAAGAAAACTATAAAATGAACAACCAAGTAAAGAAAATCGAGGGGAATTCTATATGAGAGGATCTCACCTGGGCATTGCTCCCCCTAGTCTCGTGCTAAGAATCAATGAACGAAACACTAGTGTGAAGGATATGTTTATATACCGCGAGGCGGGTGCAACAAGCTAGGAATGAAGGCTAACCCAAAAGGGGTTACCCAAGTGGTTAGGAGATCAAGCTCCCTATGGTCCAAAGGGGGATTTCCACCTTTTAGGTTAATTTGACCCAATAATAAGATAATGCAATCAACACCCAATCATTCATGATTAATAACTCAAATATTATATAAAACACACAATCAACACAATAGAATCAAGTTCTTACATCCTAACACACATCTTGACTAGGATTCACAATACCCAAGTGAGTATGAAGGCTAATCCATAGCTAGGCAAAGGAAAACAACAAAAAGGAGAGAAAGAACCATGAAGAGATGAAAATCTTATTTCCTTCTTGCTTGAATCTCCCTTGAGAAGAAGAGATCTTCAATCCTCTGGCTTGAATTGAGCCCAATCTCCTTCTTTCTCCTTTGAATGATCCTTTCTCTCTCTAGAATGGGAAGAGAAAACCCTAATCTCTCACTAGAAACCCCCCCCCCCCCCTTTATTCTGAAAATTAAAACACTAGAAAAAGCTCTCCTTCTTTCTCCTTTCAGGCTTCAGCTCTCTATTTATACCCAGTCGCGCCCAGTTCACGGTCCTAGTTCACGATCGTGAACATCAAGTCGGGACCTTGACCACAGATCAAAACGCGTCGCTTCACTTATGGAGTTCACGATCCATGGTTCCGGTTCACGGTCTTACAACCGTGAATTGCCTCGGCATCAGTAACCTCTGAAACTCCTTTGGACACTCTACGATTAATGGTTTGTGGTTCCAGTTCACGGTCCTGACGACCGTGAACTCACTGCTTGACTGTGAACTATGGCTGCTTTCCTGGCACCAGTGCTTCACGGTCACGGGCTTTGGACTTTTCTTCGGTTTCTGCGCTTTTCGACTTCCGATCGTCCCAAAACTCGTCCTCGACCCTTCCACACGTGCTAGGACTTGAAATGTATCAAAACAAGCACAACCTAGCGTGAAATATGTCGAATGACAATGAAATGTAAAGCCAAATTATCAAAAAATGAGGATAAAATGTGTACAATTGAACCCGAATCAGGCTTAGAATTAGAAGCAAGAGTATGCTCATGCGGTTGTGTTGTCATCCCTACTTACTAGATACTATTGGTAAATATAAGTCAACCCTTTAATTTACAAATCAAATTGATGAATTCGAATAGCCGTCAAAGAAAGAAACACCATACGATGATTTAGAATAAGAAAATTAATTAATAAAATGCCAAAAATGAAAATCTCAACTAACATAAATAGGATACAACCAGAACCAGGAGCCAGGAATGACCAGACCTGCGGGGCAGTGATGATGAATTGATGATTCTTCTTCCGTCAGGTTGGATTCCTTTCCTTGGTGTTGACATCGTCCACATTCAGCCAGTAGAAACCAAACGCAAAGAAATACCGTCTCCTCAGGAATCCAATTCGTAACCATTTATGCCGCTGCTCAGAGACTTCTCTCCACCACCACCACCACTAAAATAACTCCACTCTTCCCTCGTGATCTCCTCTGACATCTCCCCCACTTTCCCTTTCCCTCTCTCCCTCCTCCTCCTCCTCCGCCGTCGCCGGTTCCTCCGTCGAACCTCCGCCCCCACCCCCAAACATTAACTAACCAATCCACGCCACGCCACGCCACGCCGCCGCGTGATCCCTTTCTTTTTATCTTCTTAACTTCCCCACCCACCCACTCCATTTCTTTATCCATTCTTCACCGGCCCATTTGTCCTCCTCCAATTTTTGACCCTCTTCTCCCCTTACCCTTGTTTCTGAATGAGACCATGAAGTGCTTCCACTTCTCCAATGGGGAGAGGCGCGGCGGGGTAGGCGGCGGCGACGACGACGGCGAGGGAAGCGGCAGTGGCAGCGGGAGCGGCGTCGCTTCTTCCAGGACCTCCAGGGTGTCGTGGGCCAGGTCGCTGAGCGTCGCCTCCGGCAACGTCGACACAAGGAGAGGGTCTGACTTGTACTGCTACTCGTCCAGGGATTTGTCGGAATCGGTCGCCTTCTACGATTTCCTCTCCCAGCGGCGAGCCAACGATTTGCACGTCTTCTCCTTCGCCGAGCTCAAATCGGCCACCAAAGGGTTCAACAGGTCGCTCTTGGTTGGGGAAGGCGGCTTCGGCTGTGTTTATCGCGGCGTCGTTAGGGTTCCCTGCGTCGGCGACGACGACGATGGCGAGGCCGAGCTCATGGATGTTGCTATCAAACAGTTGAATCGTCATGGTTTCCAGGCATGCCCCTTTTTTCTCCCCCTTTTTGTGAAATTGGTTCCCAATGTAGCGTGGGTCAATTATGCGAATGAATTGGGGGATCTTATGGGCATTGCTCTGTGTGTTTGCATTTCTAGTATTTCAGGGGCACAAGGAATGGATCAATGAAGTGAATTTCCTGGGCGTGGTGGATCATCCTAATCTAGTTAAGCTGGTGGGTTATTGCGCCGAAGACGATGAAAGAGGGATGCAGCGGCTTTTGGTCTACGAGCTCATGCGCAACAAGAGCTTGGAAGATCATCTCTTGGCCCGAGTCGCGTCGCCTCTCCCCTTGATCACTAGATTGAAGATTGCCCAAGATGCAGCCCGCGGATTAGCTTACCTACACGAGGAAATGGATTTTCAGGTCTCCTTTTCAGCCTTTTATTTTCTCCGGCTCTGCACTTCTGATTCTTCCTCGATTAAGCTTCTCCATTTTGCTTTGTGTTAATGGTTGCAGCTTATATTTCGAGATTTCAAAGCGTCAAACATCCTACTAGATGAACATTTCAATGCCAAGCTCTCAGACTTTGGTCTAGCTAGACAGGGTCCCCCTGAAGGTCTCAGCCATATTTCAACATCGGTAAGTTGTTTTACCTGGCCACAGCTTGGTCTTCTGGATTATAAGATTGAGATTACTGTGAATCAGTGGCATTTCTGAGTTTTGAACTGCGACCCGTAGCACCAAGTGTTTTAAGTCTGTCAAGCAGCCTGTTATATTGGAACTCAACTTATCCGGGGTTCTCAATTGGACATTTTGAGGGTTAGGGGTTGATAAATGCTTGTATGCCATTTTAAATCTGTGGAATCATGGTGGAATTTGACCTTCAACTGTAGTTTTTCCTGAAATTGATTGTTTTGTGTCTTTTTTTTTTCTCTCCCCAAAGGTTGTTGGCACAGTTGGATATGCAGCTCCAGAGTATGTTCAGACTGGGAGGCTGACTGCAAAGAGTGATGTGTGGAGCTTTGGAGTAGTTCTATACGAGCTTATCACGGGCAGGCGGGTTATGGAGAGAAACCTTCCAAGGGGAGAACAAAAGCTTCTGGAGTGGGTAAGACCTTACGTATCTGATTCTAGGAAGTTCCATCTCATTGTAGACCCCCGGCTCGAAGGGAACTACTGCCTTAGATCGGCACAGAAAGTCTCAGCCTTAGCAAACAAATGTCTGAGCAAACAGCCCAAGTCCCGGCCTAGAATGAGCGAGGTAGTAGAGTTGTTGGGGAACATCATCAGTGACATATCACCATGCGAAGAAGAGCCTGCAGAATCCGAAAATGTTAAAGAGGTAGAAGAGAACCCGAAAGAGGGTGACCCAGAGCTCACCAAGAGCAGCAGACACAGCTATCTGAAGAAGGTTTTGGATATGAGAGAGTTGAAGAGCTTCAGGAACAGATCGCTTGGCAGACTTGATTGGAGGAACTGGACTCCCGGTCTCATTAGAACTTCATCATGATCTGGGGAATATAAGATCTCCCATTATCCATGCTAGCCAACAGAAATGTGGAAGTTGCGATTCTGCCTTCAGTTCTGATTTGGCAATGAAACAATAGTAAATTGAGTAGTGCAAAAAGCCTACTACTTCCCGGCAATTAGATTGTAGTCTATGTATATATATATATATGGTTGAGAGTTGATCTTCACTGGTTATGTAGTAATATATTAATATGTGCTTCATCTTCCCACCGCATTGAATAGAAAGTTGATTGATTCTGTCCTCTCTGTTCCTCAGGTGAACCATGTCTGTAAATATAAGTTCCCTGATCTCTTGAGGTTCTCATCTTTGGGCATTGGTGTGTGCTTGCAGATCTGTTCTTCTGTCTCCATTTTGGTCTGAAAGGTCTCCACTGACAGATTCCATTACAGTTGCTGTCTTTGATGCTTTTCGTTGGTGGGTATGAAAGGTCCATGGGAAGACTCTTGATTCTTTTTCCTGGGCAGAAATTCTTTGGTGGTCCTGTGGATAAATCCAAGAAATGTTGCAGTAGTTTTCTGAAGAGAATGAGTCTTTAAGGTGCACATCAGTAGGACGAAAATGAAATGGATAGGCAAGAAAAAGTGTCTGGGTTCACAAGTAGGACCTGCATGATTGCAGGCAGTGCTCACTCGTGAATGGTTGGTTTCATTTATCTTTAAGAGCTTAAAGCTTGCTGTTACCAAACATGTGACTACATAGTACTAGAATCGAACAGGAAGACAATAGTTGGACAAAAGAATCTCCAGAACCAGGTTATGTAAACAGATGTAAAACCGTGCTGTTACTGTCTCTGGGATTTTACCGGGAACCTTTGGAGGCAGCCCCACAGGTCTAGCAGGAATGAATCAACACGGAACCAGCTGACTTCACAATCGTGGTCGTCGGCTGTATTGACCCGACTGGATTTTATTTTATCTGTAATCATCATAACTCAAAGAATTGTAATTGCTTTGGGACTTGGTTCCTATACTAGAAAGTTGGTAACATAACATCGCTCAGCAAAGGGAAATAAACGAGCTTTGTTTTTAATCATCTTCAATATATGGTTGGTCTAGTTGGCCCAAATGACCATTCAAGTCTTGAACAAAGGCATTCTTTCATGGTTGTGGTTGTCGCAACATGTGTCTTTTATTTTAGCCCTAAACCCTTTTCACGGTTGAAAACAATATGAGCACTAAACCCTTTCGTCAAACTTGCATCCATACAGTTCTGTATACATCAAGCTCAAATTAACTCATCATTAACTTGACCAATTACCTGATAGGCACAATTCATTAAAAAAAAAAAAAAAAGCAAAATACACTTGCATAGCCAAAACTTTCACCTTTGTGCCACTTATAGCCACATTTGGCGAAGTACCACTAATAGCCACTTTTAAAAGATGTTGTGTGCCAGATATAGCCATTTCCGTTAGAAACTTTGACGGTGTTAATAACTCCGTCAACTTATTTGACGGTTGGCTGACGAGGCGCCAAATCATCAACCACATCAACGACAGCTAAGCAAAAATTGACACGTCATCTTAATAATTTATTTATTAAAAAAAATTTAAAAACTTTCCCCATATACCTGATCTGTCGAGGCTTCCAAAAATCCCCATCTATTTCCCGAAAACGAAATTAGGGCTAACAAATCTTCTCCATCTCTTTCTAGAAAACGAAATTAGGGTTCTTCCCAGATTTCCTCTTCCCCACGAAGGAGATACACGAAGCTGATCGAAACTTACTCCTCTCCCCCAAATCTTCTTCTAGTATGCTCTGACTCGGCGCTTCTTCCTTCTTCCCCAAATCCCATTTCTGCTCGGCAGATTCGCGACCCCGAAATCGCGATTTCTCCTTCCCAGAACTTCACGCGAAAGTCAGCCATGTCCAAGCGAGCATCTTCCTCAACTTCGACTAGCATCAATAGCCGAGGGGCGGTACTCTGTTGGCACAAGAAGCCATGTGTGGTGAATACATCTAGAACCGAAGCGAACCCAGGAAGACAGTTCTATGGGTGTCCATTTTGGATGGTAAGGTGTTTAGAAATGGGTTTTGATGATTGTCGTTGATGTGGGCTCTAAGTTGAATGCTCGTATGGTGCAGGACGAGAAGAAGAACCGTCGTTTTTTAGGTGGGTGTGAATGAATGTCGATGAAGATAAGCACCATGATTCTGAAATTGGGCTATCGACTTTGAATATTGAACAAAGTTTGAGGCTAGCTGAGTGTAAGGCGGAAAGGAGGAAGAAGGAGAAGAAACTTTTGGCTGAAGAGCTATCAAGATGGATGAAGGCACATGAAATTATGCTAGCTGAAGGAAGGAGAGTTAATCATGAAATCCATGTAATTCGAGCTTTATTGACAGTGATTGTCTTACTGAACCTAATATTGGTTGTTCTTATGTTGCACCATGTTATTATGTGGTAGGAAATTAATCAACATTGTTGATGTAATTCGACATTTGTATCCCGATTCCAACGTTTTCAAGAATTAGTGAAAACAGAGATCTAGTGTTAGTTTAGAAGAGAGAGTTCATCAAGAAGATCTAATGTAATTCTCTCTGTATGGAAAGAATGGATGAAGATTTGGTGAGAGATTTTGAGATCCCTTGTTTTAGTGTAGTAGAGAGAGTTGCTAATTTGTACTTTGTGCAAAAGGGCTTATCCGCAGTAATAAGATGACGAAGTTATGGCACATAATCAATAGCATAATCGTAGTTGTTCATTACATAGTAGCCTAACATACTCCGATTTGTTCATAATCCGAGCAAAACATTACATAAGTCTGCCTATCAACATACTTCGAGTTCTTCTTAATCCGAGCATTACATTACATTAGTCTGCCTACCAAACATACTAACATACTCCGAGAGTGTTCATAAAAGGCCAATACATGAGTCATCTATCCAAAAAAAAACCTCTAGCGAGGTAGCTAATAGCTTAATGGCCTTGCACAAAAAACATTAGATGACTCCTGGATATACAGGTCTAAGGCTGCGAGGGTGGGGGTTGACTTCCATTCATCTGGACCTCAGTGGGCTGCGTGGTTCCAAACACTCGTCCTCTCGCACCATTGAGCTGAAATAGTAGCCTAAAAATCAGCCATTCCACTTCCAATTTTATAACAACAAGCATTTAACCGTATAAATACTTACTCTAACGTATTGGTTCCCAGTATGCTCTGACACGTAGACTCCAACTCCGCTTGTGGCAACTCGCAACTCGCGTTCAACAGTCCTCCGATCAGCAACATTCAGCCTAACGTCCTACCATAGCAAGCACATACCCTGCCATTATGTAGGTTTAAATCTTGTGCGAGAGTGTTCACAAACCATCTCCAGGAGTTTGTGTTCTCGCCTTCTACAACCGCCCAAGCAATTGGGAACATTTGGTTGTTGCTGTCCTTCCCGACAGCTGTAAGCAACATTCCCTTAATTTCTTCCTTCAAGAAGCATCCTTCTAATCCGAACATTGGACGACAGGCTTCAAGGAAACCATCCCTCAAACAGGAGAATCCAACATACATTCTCTGGAAGTACACCTTCTCTTGTGTATGGTGAGGTTCCACTTCCAATTTGAAAGTCCCTCGATGATCACGCTTCAACAACTCACCAAGGTAAGATCTGACCTTGTGGTATTCCTCTACTAGTGAACCTCCCAGCATCCTGATTGCAACAACTTTGGCTCTATAACACGTTCTTCTCGCAACTTCCATATTGTGTTTAAGCTTTACCTCGGCCATAATTTGATCAGGCGCCCACTTAGGATTAATTCTAAACTGTTCTAACATGTCACTCACAATCCAGTGGGCAGTTACTTGGTTGACACGAAGCTTTCTTGCATATGAATGAGACAGACCAGCCTTCCTCACCATGAAAATCTGGTTCTTGCGGAACCAGCTAGCATATACTCTCCACTTGCAATTCGTGTCCTTGCATCTAACCTCCCTCCTTGTTGGATTACTCCTAAGCCACCTCAAACCAGCCCCGGCAGCTACAGAATGACGAACGACAGCAGCCTTGAACTCCACAGCACTAGCAAACTTCATCCTTGGCACGAACTCCAGAACAGTATGATGACAAAGCGGATCATAATGCGGTGCGTCATCGAACAATTCCCTACCATCCGAGTCAGATAGGTTAGGTCTGACGTGGTTTGAGTCTTCAGATCCTCTATAACTCGAGTGGTTTGAGTTTTCTCCCCTTGTTTCCTGAACTTGAGGTGTTTTCACTAGCTTGGACTCCTTCATCAGCATGAGAGCCAACAGGTCCTTCCTCTTCGCGTTCATTAGCATGAGAGGCAGCAGGATCTTCCTCTTCGTGTTCATCAGCCAAAGCATCATCTTCATCATCAGATTCTTCTTCTTCAAAATCATCCAGCTGCTCGACCTCCTCCCCATGGCCATCAATCAGTGCCTTAACTTTCCTTTTCCTCATCTCCCCATAGGCTCGTAGGTTTGACCTTGCTTCATGGTATTCGTCGTCAGAAGTATCAGCGTCGTCTGAGTCATATACGTGGTATATGTCTCTAGCAACAGAAGCCTCAATTCCATCTTCTGCAGGCAAGGAGAAATCTGATACTACCACAGCCTCTGGATCGTTCTCCCCAAAAGCAGAGTCCCAAGAATCAGCCATCTGTCATCAAGTTTTAATCAGTTTTTTAATCACCATTAACCACGTGATTAAACAATGCTCACACTATTTTAATCGCTACCAAATAAATGGTAAACAAATGCTAACAGTATTCAATTCTAGGGTTCGTGGGAATCAAAGAGGAATAGACAATTCTAACCCAGTACATCGACTAACTAACCTTCAATTATGGGGGCAAACTCGCCAAAAATGATCAATCGAGTGGTCCCGAGATTCCTCTGCCTTGTCGCTTTCTTGTCTTTACAGCTCGATACCAACCAAACAACAAAGAGAAGCTGTAAACTATAAGAACCTTCACCCCACAATCCACAACCACAGTAACAAAGCAAGAACAGAACCTTACCAGTCGCGACACAAGAGTGGGAGCAAAAATCCCCCTTCAAGTGCGATTAGGGTTTCGACGAACCTAGTCAAATCGCGAATTGCAAGGGTTGATTCCGAGATTCCTTCAAAGCAAACAACACAAAACAAGCTTCGAAGGACTCCGCCAAAGCTCGCCGCCGGTTGGTCAAGCCATTGGATGCATGGATGTTTTTATCGAAGGAGGAAAATCGGGACTGGAGGTTTTTGGGAATTTCGATGGTGGGGGAAGGAAGAGAGGTTGGGTACGCTGGTCGTCGGAGGCAGATCGTCGCCTTCGTTGACTTCGCCGCCTTCGTCGACTGAACTGCCTTCGTCGCCTTCGAATATGGGTGGGTGAATTCAACTGAGGAGAAAAGGAAGGAGTAGATAGAAAGTAGAAAACGACGACGGTGAAAAAATTAAGGATTTTGTTTTTTTTTAAATTATTATCCACGTGTAAAACGCAGGCTTGACACGTAAGCCCAGTCACACTTAACGTTAACAGCGTTAAAGAATCGGACGGAAGTGGCTATTAGTGGTAATTCGCCAAATGTGGCTATAAGTGACACAAAGGTGAAAGTTTTGATTATTCAAGTGTATTTTGCAAAAAAAAAAAAACACAGACGATATCATACCCCTTTCACAGAAGCGGCATACCCTTCCTAGCTCTATCTGATCTCATCATGTTTTGAGTCCGTAACAAATGAGTACTCACTTGATGCACTCATTACGATTTACAAGCCATTGGACATTATATCAAATTAAGACTAACACCTTAGCTTCTAATAAATTCAAATGTAGAAACTCTTACTCACTTATAATATCGTGAGATCCCTTTATGATTACAACATATATTAGATATGTTTGTCTAGTGTCTCAACGTTGTAACGGTTCAACACTTCCGTTATCTCATAAAGTTCATGCTTATATGTGGAGTCATATAACACATGCTAGCCACATACTGCTCTCTATGAATCATAACAACCCATACCAACACAATACTTGAGAGGGACAAGTTAGAATTTGAATCCATGGTAAATAATTTGTTATTCAA